ACAAAACAAAACAAACAAAACACTGCTTACACCCCAGGTCTGGAAAGACCCCTACCCAGATCCAGTATCACTCCTGGGACAGCGCCCTCCGTGGGTCAAACCTGTTGTGGCGAACCCAGCTGAGGACTGTCATGCCCCCATGTAATCAGGCCTTGTTAGAGATCCTTGGAGATTCAGATCCTAAGAGCCCTTTCCACGCACTGGTCTAGGAAGCTGCTCAGGCTTGCAGCTTGAATTGTGCTTTGAGATCTGGCCACCCCGGCTTTACAAGTCCTATCCAGGAAATACCATTAGCCTGGGCCCTGTAGGTGATCCGGTGCTGCCGGGAGACCGGCGCCCTGCTTGTGGACCAGAGTGAGAGGTTTATCTTTGGGTTTAACTTTTTCCAAAGACGTTACTCAAGCATATAATAAAAATGGAAAAGGATTGAAGCCTTCACCTTGTGCATTTTAAGTATATGTGGATATAAAACATTATGGTGGAATTAGGTTTGGCAATTTTATTTATTTATTTATTGGGTACCAAAAATCAAACTCAGGACCTTGTGCTGGCCAGGCAGGCACTGTGCCACTGAGATATATCCCTGGCCCCAGGCTTTGAAATTTAAACTAATGGCAACTTAATGGTTTCTATAGACTGCTTTAATCATACTCTTCAATTATTATCCTTCTATGTCGTGATGATTACATGTCTTGTTTTGGTAATTTTGATAAGAAAGTTATGTGACCATAGCCTCCCTCTCTCACCACTTGGCTCAGTTTACCCGACCCTCTGCTGACATTTACAAGGTCAGGCATGCCCACACAACTGATGCTTCTTCTAGGAACATGTGAAGGACTCTGAGACTTGAGCTCAGTCACTTCTCAAAGTCCTCAATGTTCTCCACTGACCTTCAAGGTGAGTTTTCAAACTCGCTTACCTCATACACTCATAAACTCTACACTGGCAGGCCCTTCACTATTTGAAATGATGGCATTTTTCTCAAGTCCTGACACACCTATGCGAAGAATGTCAAACTTTTCATCTACTATCTATGATAAGGATCAAAGCAACTTGTCTGAGCCCTTTTTTCAAAGTTATTTATTCACATAATGAGGATCCAAAATTCACTTATATGATTTTTAGAATCAATTTACTGAGACATGATTTATATAAAACGTACGTATTCAGTAATCTTGAATTCTGAAAATTTACACAGCTTTGTAACTACCACAATCTAGATGCAGAACATTTCACCACACAAAACTATTTACTCAACAACTGACTCAGTGACTCCTCACCAACTCCTCCCCACAAGCAATGTTCTACTTTCCAATGCTCAAGATTAGATAAGTCTTTCTTAGAATTTCATGTAAGTAGAACATGGTTCTAGTCTTTTGCTCCTGATTCAGAATAATCTTGTTGAGATCTATCATTGATGTTACATGAATTAGCAGTTCCTTTCTTTTGTTGCTGGGTGCTATTCCATCATAAGGCAGTACTCATAACCTTATGTAGTTTCCTCTTGGAAGAAATTTTGATTTTTCCCAGGCAATATGAACATTTTTGTACAATTCTGTTTCTATATAAAATAGAGTGAAAATTGCTAGGTACAGTTAAATATCATTACAAGGGGGCTGGGGATTTAGCTCAGCGGCAAAAGCGCCTGCCTGGCAAGCGCAAGGTCGTGAGTTCAGTTCCTGGTACCGGAGAAAAACAAAAAAAAAAAACAAAAAACAAAAAAAACAAAAAAAAAACCAAAAAAACAAATATCATTACAAGGAACTAGCAAATGGATTGGTGATGCTATCACATTCTAGTTTTAACTTGCACTTCCTTCTTAACTAAAATTATATACATCTTTTCTAGTACTTATGGGGCACTTATGTAATTTACTCAAATTTACTCAAATGCTTGTTTCAATATTTTCCTTTCTTTTGCTTATTTGAACTAGGTTTTGTCCAACCTACATAATTTTAACACATAAATATTCTTTATATAATGTAGATGAAAGTCCTTTGTCAAGTATTACTAGAGATACTGGTTCCCAGTCTGTAGTTCTCTCACTCATTTTCATAAAAAAACTCAACTTACCTTTCATTTGTTTCATGTTTTTTTGTTCTATCTTAAAAGTGTCTGAGTACCTAAAACTATTAGTTTCTGCAGTATTTTAATTCAAATTTTGCATTATTTTCACATAAATTTTGAATACATCTTGAAATTAAAATATATCAATGTACAGTTATTTCAGCAACATTTAAAAAATTGTCCTTTCTCCATCAAACTATTCTGAAACATCTATTGAAAGTCAACTGATGACTTTCAACTACAGCCTAAGAAGTAGCAAAAAAAAAAAAAAAAAGTATTGCTCCTACTCAAAAATCAAAGTAGTGGCTGGGCAGACTACTATTTTTCTTGAATGCATTAAATATGTAAGGTCACAAAGCAAAAAAAGAACCCAAAGTCTGGAGAGCTAAGTGGATATAGAGAGAAACAAGGATCCAAGCAATTGCATAAATAAGACCAAGAATGCCAAACACCACATAAAATTATTTCAGTGGAAAACAGACAACATGCATGATCACAGGGTAATTTCACTAGAAATGGGAACTATAATAAAATGTCATATATAAAAATTACAGTAACATAAATGAAGTTCCATTAATACACTAAACACTGGTGAAGAATCAAGTGATGCTGAAGACGTGTGTGTTCTATGTATTAGTGATCTTATGATAATACCAAAGTATATAGAAAACATTGGTTTCTTTGAAGAGGCAGTTTGGTAGCAATGGCTCTTTCTGTATGGATGTATCACAGGCAGCAGGACAAAAAGGACTGTGCTATGGTCGTCTGAATATTCAGATATTACCTGTGAAAGGTTTATTTAATAATATACATACAGCAAGTTGTAGCTGATGTGAGAACAGTTAATAAGTAAGGAGACACAATGTTGAGTTCTAAAACAAATGAAATAAATACCTAGTAAAAGGAATGAACATATCCAGACATAAACAACAGACAACTCAGAAAATATTCACTTACATTCAATACTGTCATTCACATTGTTCTGTTTATTTTTAAAGTTTTTATTCTAGTGAATGCTTACTAATCAATATTAATATATTGCATTGTTTTACATTACATATGAAATAGGTCTTTAAATAAAATTTCTAGATAAAGGTTATTACTTACCTTTCTTAAATTATTTTTTCCTTATATTTCTGAGCAATTAAGAAGTTTGATGATGTGTTGAAACTTTGATACATTGAAAACCCAGTTATATGTGATGAGATACCATGTTTTGGTGAGGGATTTTCTCCCCATATGTTCAAATATTAGATTTTTTCCCTAATATTTACCTGACTGAGAAGGCAGATTTGTAGGAAGATATTGTTGGAAGTTATCTCCAGATGACTTTTCTGATATACAATGAGTTCAGATGTCCACAGAAATTATTTTCATGGGTTTTCAGTAAGGGTCGATGAGTTTTAATATGAGGTATACCAAATGCTGTAGAAGCTCAGCAGAAAAGTTTACTTTCTGGCTCTAAAAAGCCCAACTGTGCACATAGAGGGGGAAACTCATTTCACAGCCAGTTTTTGAAACTATTTCTCACCATGCTTTTGAATTCAATGTATGAACCAGAAGTAGTCTCCATTCCAATTCAGATGAGAACTGGAAAAAAATATTGAAAATTTGAGAGATGTATTTAATCAGACTCACCTATAATTGATCCCTACATTTAACAACAGGATTCCACTTGGCTAATAGAATGGTTGGAAAATTCTTGTTAGGAGTAGCACAGGGCAAAAAGTGGTTACTGGTATTTTTATAGTCATTATATGACATATGGGCCTTACACTTGTGTAAATCAAACTGAAGGCTGACTTATGGTAGATTTCTCCACATCCATCACCTTCATTTCTTGTTTTGTATACACTCAGATCTCTACCCTTTATGTATTTTGTGCTGTACAGTATCCCTCACCTATCATGTGAATTACGTTCCACAGACCCCCATGATAGGTGAAAATCCACAAAGCGGCAGTGTTACATTTTATCAGTTATATATATTTTAAGGCTTTATAAACCCTTCCCACACTCCTATAAACCTTTCCCACTTCTTATCAACCTTTCCCACATTCTTATAAACACTTCATATGCTCTTAAACACTTTCTACACTGTCCAACCTACATAATTTTAACACATAAAATTCTATATGGGTACTTGATGTGAAGTGGACAAGGACAGATGATGAACATATGGGCACAATGCAGGAGAGTAAACAGACTGATGCTATGGTCACTGAGCCAATCAGCATCCAGGATACAGAACACAGTGCTGTGGTTGGTTGCCTTCCATTCCATCAGCCAATAGTGTGCCACGTACAATCTCATGTTGGCAAACTTGTGCAAGCAGTACTGGTGTATTTCATTTCCATTGTGTTCAGTACAGTATTCATCTGCTGATGAAATACATACTTTATTTTATTTTAATTTAATGTTTTAATATGTTTGAATTAACATTTTTATATTGTTTTAAGTTTTTTAGGCAAAAATAATTAAGATAACAAGTATTATATAAATACCTACATACCACAAAATCCTGCAATATAGTGAAAACCCTGCGATACAGAATTAGATATATATTTTTTAAAAACCCACAATACAGTAAAGCCACAATAAGTGAGCCATGATATAGTGAGGGACAACTGTACTAAAAAAATTAGACTTTGATTAAATCAGTACACATTTCTTTCTAGGTCTTTCTGTCATTTCTTTGAAGAATGAATTCTGATTGGTCACACAAAATCTTTGTATTTTCTTTACTTTCAAAGAGATTTTCTGCAACATAGGTTTTCTGAGGATTGAATCCTCAGTCTGTGATTGAATCACAGACTATTTTCTGTATTATCTTTAAAGTGTTATCTTTAGTTTTTTTTTTTTGATAGCCAACAAAAACTGTACTGACTGAAAGACTGCCTATATTTCCCATATTCTTTACATGCATGTATTTACTCCCATGTGGGCCTTCTGATGTTCTCTTAGGCTTGATTTTTGGCTGAAAGTCTTTTTGCATTTATCACACTTATAAGGTTTCTCCCCTGTGTGAGTTCTCTGATGTACTCTGAGATTGGATTTCTGACTGAAAGCTTCCCCACACTGGTTACAATTATAAGGCCTCTCCCCTGTGTGAGTTCGCTGATGCTTTCTGAGAACTGACTTCTCACTGAAAGCTTTTCCACACTCATGACATTCATAGGGCTTTTCCCCTGTGTGAGTTCTCTGATGTCCTCTAAGATTTGATTTCTGCCTAAAAGTTTTGCTACACACATCACATTTGTAAGGTTTTTCACCAGTATGAGTTCTGTGATGTACTCTGAGGTTTGATTTCTGACTAAAAGCTTCTCCACAATGACTACATTTATAAGGTTTCTCCCCTGTGTGAATTCTGTGGTGTCCTCTAAGCTGTGATTTCTGACCAAAAGCTTTTCCACACTGATTACATTTGTAGGGCTTCTCTCCTGTATGTGTTCTATGGTGTTTTCTTAGGCCTGATTTCAGTTTGAAAGCTTTCCCACAATCATCACACTTATATGGTCTTTCCCCTGTGTGAGTTCTCCGATGATTCCTTAGGCCTGACATATGGCTAAAAGATTTCCCACATTCACTACATTCAAAAGGTTTCTCCCCTGTGTGTGTTCTCTGATGTACTATGAGGATTGACTTATAGTTGAAAGATTTCCCACATTCATTACACTCAAAAGGTTTCTCCCCAGTGTGAGTTCTCTGATGTATCCTTAGGCCTGACTTTGCACTGAAAGCTTTCTCACATCCATCACATTTATATGGTTTCTCTCCAGTGTGAGTCCTGTGATGTTTTTTTAGGCGTGACTTCTCACTGAAAGCTTTCCCACATTCATGACATGTATAAGGTTTCTCCACAGTGAGGCTTTTCTGAGGTTGACTCAGATGTGAATTCGTAAAGCAGAATTTTCCACATTCATTACACTCAGAAGGTTTCATCTTTATATGATGAATTTTGTGATGTACATTGAAAGTCAATGGGCATCTGCAACTCTCTGTACCTGTGTTATCCGTTGAGTGAGTTCTCTGACGCATTAGGAAGGCTGAATTTTGGCTGAAGATGTTTTGGTGCTCAGAGTGCTTTATCTTGATGTGAATTTTTGGCTGTTCTCTCATGTCTGACTTTTGGGTGAAAGATTTTCCTGCTGGATCAGTTTTCTTAGCAGCCCTACTGAAACCATTCCCATTTCCATTAAACTCACAATGACTCTCATCTGAATGAATGCTCTGAGAGACAACGGTTGATCTGTCATACAACTTTTCTCCAGATGTATTACATGTGTAAGATTTCTCTTTTTGGTAGGCACTCTGAGATGAAATAAGAGTAGCCTTTTCAAGGAAAGCTTTTCTACTTCCATTATATTTAAAAGCTTGTCTCAAATTCCGAACTGTCTGATGGTGAATAGGTTCTACTTTATGACTGAGGTCTTTCTCTCCAGTATTTTTTCTGCAACCCTTAATGTTGAGTAGCCCATTCTCAGAGCAGTTAAGATCACCAGCCTTTTCTCTTGAATCCTGAAAGTGTGAGGCAAATGAGTTGAGACCCCAGCTCTTGGGCCCTGCAGGGTCACACTGACAAAGTGTCAGTCTTGCAGGGAAAATATCTATGTTGGAATAATGTGATTTTCTGGAAGTTTCTTGGTCTGTAGTCAATGATTTGCTGGTGAATGAAGGTGGCCACAAATGTTTGTCCCGGTGTTCTGGGCTTTTCTCTAAGAGTTTATCAGGTTGGCAGTCTTCTAAAAATGAGAAAAAAAAAATACGATACTTCACACAGCTCTTATTAATGGGGCTTACAAAATGTGACTGAAATATACAATGTTTAAATTTTTAAAAAATTAACACCAAAAATTAATACCATTAAAAAAAAATACCCATTACCATATATCACCCTCTAGTTACTCCCCCTTTCATTGAACATTTAACCCATCAGTCTTGCCACTTTCTTAAGCAGTCCTGGACATCCTGTTTCATGAGTGTCTTTATAAGGTGTGATGAAAAATACAATGAATGTTGCTGCTGAGTATCATCCAAGAGAAAAGAAAGCTCCTAAGAGCATTACAATATGTTCTCATTCACTTATTTGTGAATGTGCAACCTCTGGTGCCTTCCTAAGTTCAAAATAACCACAAAAAATAAAGGTTTTGGATTAAGGTAGGACATCATGGGAGTGATGACAGTACACGTAAGACAATACAGAGCTGCTTCACAAAGTAGGAAGAACAATTCAGTAACTGTATTTTTGGTTTAAAAAACTTTTTATAGTAGAAAGTAGAAGTGAATATATTTGACATCTTAAAATATAATTTTCAAAATGGAAGAGAAAAAAGATATAAAGGAAGTAAACAATTGAGAATAGAATTTATTTACCAGACCAGAGTTCCTGGAACAAAAAACTCAAAGAATGTCATGAATTCAACAAAGGTTATCAGCACTAAGTACATAACAACAAAATCAAAAGATACCTGGTTGCAGTAGATTTATCTGAATAAGGTTTGCAGTATAAAGTACCTCTACAGCCTAGATTCTTTTTTATTTTCATTTTTCTGTTGGGGCACTAGTTATTGAAACAAAGGCCTTCATTCTGATCTACTTATCCCAAGCCTTTTTTAAAGACAGTATCTGACTAAGTCATTAAATTGCCAGACTGGGTTAAAACTTGTGATTTGGCTATCTTAGGCTCACAGAGTGCTGGCATTCCAGGCATGTACCACAGTGCTACATTAGAATCTAGATTATTACTCAGTTAGATCCACAATGGTTGGGTAAATATTAACTTACATCATGTTGGTTAGAGTACTTTTTCTATTCTATTTATCCATATCAAATTTAAATGGAAAGCTATCCCTTGCTCATGGATAGGAAAAACCAACATAGTGAAAATGGCCATACTCCCAAAACTCTTATTAAGATTTAATGCAATCTAAATCAATATACCATTAGCATTTCACATAGACCTAGAGAAAACATCTTAAAATTCGTTTGGAACCAGAGGAGACCTAGAATAGCAAAAGCAATCCTGGGCAACCAAGGCAAGGCAGGGGCATCACAATCTCTGACTCAAAATTATACTACAAAGTACTGTGATAAAATCAGCACGGTATTGGCGAAAAAACAAAACAAAACAAAACAGGCCTGAGCATCAGTGGAACAGAATACAAGATGCAAATGCAACTTCAAACACACTCAACCACCTTGTCTTTGAGAAAGGATTTAAACATGTTCACTGGAAGAATGATAGCCTCTTTAATAAATGGTGCTGGAAAAACTGACTTTCCACATGCCAAAGACTAAAACAAGACCCAAGTGTATCACCATGCAGTAAACTAAAGTCAAAATGGGTCAAAGATTAAATATTATAACAGAAACACTAAATCTACTGGAAGAGAAAGTAGGCAGAAATCTTAAAGACATAGGTGTAGGCAAAGAATTCATGAGTAAAACTCAGACCACAGAGGAAATACTACAACAATCAATACCTGGGATCCCATCTTATTAAAAAGCCTTTTCACAACAAAAGAAATCACCAACAGAGTGAAAAGACTACCTACAGAATGGGAAAAAATTATAGCCAGTTGTCCCTCAAACAAAGGACTTATATCTAGAACATATAAAGAATTGAAAAAATCAGACCCCATAAATTCAAAAACTCAGTCCAAAAATGGGCATCTGAGATCTATACACACTTCTCAGATGAAGAAATACAAATGGCAAATAAATATATGATAAAATGTTCAACATCATTGGTCTTTTGAGAGATGCAAATTAAAATAACACTAAGATTCCTTCTATCTCACCCCAGAAAGAATGGCTATCATCAAGAAATCAACCAACAACAAATGCTGGAGGGGCTGTGGGGAAAAAGGAAGCCTTCTCCTCTGTTGGTGGGAATGTAGACTGGTGCAACCATTGTGGAAATCAGTGTGGGGACTCCTTCGTGAATTAGGATTAGAGGTCCCATTCAACCCAGCTATTCCCCTTCCAGGTATCTTCCCAAAATAATTAAAAACATCATATCACAGTGATACATGTGCACTTGTGTTTATAGTAGCACAATTTGTAATAGCTAACTCTTGGAAACAACCCAAATGCGATGAACTGAGGAATGGATAAAAATGATGTGTTGTTTTCATACAGTGGAGTACTACTCAGCCACAAAGAAGGATAACTTTGAGACTTTTATAGGTAAATGGATGCAATTCAAGACCATACTCATGCTGAGCATGGTGGTGCACACTTGTAATCCTAGCACTTTGGAGGCTGAGGCAGGAGGATCACTGTGAGTTTGAAACTAGCCTGGGCTACAAAGTGAGCTCAAGGCCAGCCTGAACTGCATAGTGAGACCCTGTCTCTTAAAAGGCAAAAAAAAAAAAAAAAAAAACACCCTTCATAAGTGAAATAAATGAGACCCACATGTGTAAACATCATATAGTGTCATTAGTGTGAGAAGCTGAACAAGTAAAAAGGACCCAAGATGTACAAAAGATACTGTGAATTGGAAAGAAACTGTTCAAAAGAAAAAAGTAACTGTGATGGGGGAAAAGCAAAAGAAAGGAAGGGAAAATGGAAAAATATAAATATACAAGATAGTTGAGATAGTTAGACTGCTGGTTTCTCTTAGTTCATTGAAAAGATAGATTTGTAGTAATATTGTTGGTACAATATCTCATCTTGTACTCTGAGTAATTACTCTGAAGATAACAATACACAATATATTATTGTTATTGTCTTATTATCTTGTTTTGAAATTTTTATTTTTTCTTTTTAAAATAAAAAAGCATAAAAAACTAACATTAAGTTTATAACAGTATCAATTTCCCCATATTAAAAGAAATAGTCCTATAGGCAATGCCTTAACTTGCTCTGCAGTATCACCATAGAGCACAAATGTCTAACTGAAAGTGTGTTTACTGGGAATTAGACATTATCCCATCTAGACTGGGCTTGCTATTCTACAGTTCCTGGTGCCTGGGTTTATTATATCAAGATCTTTGTTTATTTTTTATTTTTAAGCTTAAGAATTATGTTTCAGCACTTGCAAGGCTGATGCAAGAGGATTACTGCCAGTTCAAGGCCATCTGGGCTGCAGAGTGTGTTCAAGGCCAGCCTGAACTACATATGGAGTGAGACCATACTCCTTTTTGTTTGGTTTTTCTCTGGTACCGGGAACTGAACTCACGACCTTGCACTTGCCAGGCAGGAGCTTTTGCCGCTGAGCTAAATCCCCAGCCCCGAGATCATACTTCAAAACAAAACAAAAATGAAAACAAAAATCATGTCACCATCTGACCCTAGAAACTTTAAATATTTTATATTTTTCTATATTTGCTGTGTGTATTGGACAGCAACTACCCTGCTACTACATACATGATAAATGTCAGGCCTGTGCTTAAAAGGTTTTGAGGACTGAAAACTTGGTCCCAGGTACCCAGAGATAAAAATTTCAGAGATATGATTCACAAAATGCACTCTCATTATGTATTCTACCTACTATTACACTAGGCAATAGTATTTTGGATCCTTAACTTTACAAGGTATCAACACCTAAATGAACTATATGGTTTATTTATAGCAGTAATTTCATAATTCTTTCCTTAAATCATTCTGCATTGCAGCCTTATATATACATAACTTCTGTATACCTTTTAGGCTGGGCAAAGCTATTTCCTGAAGAACAAAAACTCCTTTCTTATATTTTCTCACAAATTTAAGCAGCATTTATTGAAAATCTGAAAGCAGTTACTACCTGTTATTACTTATTTTAACCAGCGATACACAGTGTGGTTCATATAGCTGAGATGCATGATATATTAAGCAAATTAAAATTGTTGTGTATTGGTTCTGGGAAGTACAAGGAGTTCCAAAAATGAGGAATAGCAAATAAATTGTTTGGCCTGCAAGAGTAGCGAACCACAAGTGAATAAACACCAACAAGTTCTAGCTTAGTACCAAAGCACTAAGTACTAAGTAGTACTAAGCTAGACAAGTACCAAAGGATGAGTATCAGGACAAAATTTTCACGTTAATATGTGATGAGTACCAAATATGATCATTTTCAAAGTAGTTGAGTACCAACAAATGATTATACTATCAATGAAATGAAGAAGCATCTTAAAGTTGCTGGCAAATTCATAGTTAACTGGGTATTCTACATACTTTCTAAATTATAAATGTAAAATAATAGTTCACCTTTCAGTAAACAACACCTTACATGATAGAAAATCAGTGTTATGTCTCTTTTCTTCTTTCCAAAGAAAAACTTCATTCTGGTATGTTGGGGACCACGAGTTATAAATGGAGTCTGGCAGATGTTCAAGCCTGTCCTTGTTCTACCCTCTGTGCTGGGCTGGAACTCAAAAACTCCCTGCTCTTTTCTGGTCACAGCTAGAAGCCCTAGGGCTAATGACTGCTGGGGCACTCATAGAGCAAGATAAAACCTGCTGAAGATGACAAGGCACCTGTGGAAACTACAGTTTCCTTATTGCCCGCCTCTCATCCTTGTCCTTGTAGGAAAGCTTTGTTCTTCCTAGCTCACTATAGTTGCTATTGCTATTCCCAGAAATACCCACTGCCCTTCAGCCACTGTCCTTGACTCAGATGTAATGAATAAATAACAAAGTTCTGGGTGCCTCGTGGGCTTGTGTTCCTCCACAAAACAACTGGTCATCCCAGATCCCTGCTGCACCCCTATTCTGTCTCTTGCTCTTTCTTCCCAGCCTGTGCCCTAACTCTTGGCAGGAGATTGGGACTCACTGCACAGGTCCCTGATAACTGGCACTGTGGAAAGGGTCACTGATACTGATACACTTCACGCTTCTCTAGCTCTTTTATAGACAGGGGCTCAGCCTAATACTAGCCTATGCCTGATGAGCTGGAAGCTCCAGAAATTTCACTGGAACATTTGCATTTAGAGATAGTGTTTTTTGAATGAAGTAACAGGAAATACCTCTCCCAACTGGCTCTGGAGATAATCTATAGTATTATTAAAACTACTGATTACATGGCACATGCCCGCGTGTGGAAGAGTGACAGGGACCATTCTTTTCTTGGGGGTTATGATCCAGGTGGATAAAAGAACTCATTCAATAACCGAGTTTTCTCACAGAGAGTCCCATTCCTTCCTGACACCTCCATCACATGAGCAGAGAGTTACAGAAGGAGGAGAGCAAGCGCAGGCTCCAGTATTCCAAGATTATTCAATAAAAGTAGGAATCTCAGCCAAAACTTCTTTCCTTTTTCTAGGTGAGGTCAGCTACTGCATTATTTTTATTGCAAAAATATCCTTTTGGTCTTATGTTTATACCATTAGAGTTTTATCTGTATCATACTTTTTGCTTTGCTTATTTTCCTTTGAAACTTGTTTTGTTTTTGGACCTACATATATGAAACTCAAAGTTCCCTCTAAACACTGTTTTACTTACAGTCCAAAGACTTCCATAAACCCTCTGTAATATTGGATAGTTTTGACTTGGATTTACTTTCTGACCAAATGTTTTAAGGTCATATTTGTTACTGATCTCAAGAAGACCTTTTCTCATATTATTTGCAAAAACTATTTTAACTGAACAATAATATCTCTATTTTGGGGAACTTGTTGACATTTACCTGAAATATTTCTATGCTTTGTCAATATTCCAATGTCATTTTAGGGATGTTTACTCTTTATTTTTGGAATAGAATTTTTGAAAAACTATAGAGTCATTTTATAAAACATGCTACTTACAAACTCTAGAGTATGAGTCAATAAACATATAATAAAAAGCCAGAGAGAGTAAATACATTTGGCAGTGGTTTCTATGTGGTCCCTGCGACAACTACTCAATTCCGGCTTGTAACATAAATTCATTATCAAATAAATATGTGTTTGTTCCAATACATCTATCTTTACCAGGAAGTGCAGTAGGTAAGATCTGATGTGAAGGTCATAGTTTATTAAACAGTCTTTTAGAGTTTCAATTCTTGTGCACTGGCTCTGCTGTGAAATCAGAGAGGTATAATATGGTCTATTGTATCTGATGCAGTGGTACCTCAGTACAGGAACTTAATTCCTTCCACGATTCTGGTCACAAACCAAATTGGACTAGAACCAAATCAAATTCAATGGTCATGGGGCTGGGGATTTAGCTCAGTAGCAAAGCGCCTGCCCGGCAAGCGCAAGGTCATGAGTTCAGTTGCCAGTACCAGAAAAAAACAAAAACAAAAACAAACAAACAAACAAATTCAATGGTTAGTTCAATGTTGATCTTATGTAGAAATTTGATTCTGTTCTTATACAATTGGGTTTGTGATCAGAATCACAGAAAGAACTAAGTTTATGAACTGAAATACCATAGTATGTTCATATTGCTCCTTATAATTACTGTGGTTTTTATTTCATAAAACTTGATCATTCAAAACTTTTACATATCCTTTTAAACTTGTCTTTACCATTGTTAAATAGCTTTTTTCTCAGCTTTTCTGATCCAACCTGAACACTTAGGTATTAGTGAGATAAGTAAACAGTATCCTTTTAAACTTGTCTTTTGCATTGTTAAATTGCTTTTTTCTCATGTTTTTTGATCCAATCTGAACACTCAGGTGAGATAAGTAAGATAAGTGAACAGTGTACTATTTTTGAGGCAACCTGGCATTGTTTTCTTCTAAACTATGAATTTGCCCCATCAGCTAATGCAGCAGATCCATCGTCTTATGATACAGTATGCTTTGGATTTGCAGAACTTCTGTGCAGAGAATAATAGATGTAGTTGCTGGCCTGTAACCCTTAAAAAGGTATACTTATAGCTTTTGGCTGGTATTTGGTAAGTGAAATTTCCAGAAAATTGATCAGGAATTCCAGATCGGCTAAGAACTGCTTGGGTTTGGGGGGTTACTGTGTACAAACTCTTTGTACAGATGAAGTGATTCATGTTCAATACCTGCTTCCTACCTGGAAGTCTGGATTTTTGAAATATGCTAGATAGAAGGTGCTTTTGTGAACAGCCCACAATAAAAATCCTGGGTCCCTTGCCTCTACTGAACTTTCCAGTTAGATAGCCTTCCACATATGTCTGTCACAATTTATTGCTGGGGGAACTTAGCATGCTTAGCTACTCTGAACTTTATCCCATGGATTTTTTTCTTTGATTCTGTTTTTTATTCTTTTGTGTTACATTTCAGCCATAACTATTACTATAAACTGAACTCTATGAGTGCCCCTGGTGAATCAGAGAACCTTTTGCCAGGTTTCAGGAACTCACCTGGGGAATTCCTGCTTAGACATTCTCTCCCTTTACCAAATGACCATGGATCATCTCCTTGTTCCAATGTTAAAATGAATTCTGGTTTTGTAAAGCAGTATCCTGTAAAGAAAATAATTTAGAGGTCAGTGGCATAGATCCCCCAATTGCACCAGAACTATCACAAAGAATCAACAACTGGGATCTCATTAAAAAGCTTTTGTAGAGCAAGAGAAACCATCAACAGATTGAAGAGACAACCCACAATGTGGGAAAAAATGTTTGCCCAGCTATTCCTCAGACAAAGAATTACTATCAAGGACATATACAAAACTAAAAAAAAAAATTAGACCCCTAAAATTCAAAGACTCAATCAAAAAATGAGCATCTGAGATCAATACACAATTCTCAGATGAAGAAGTACAACCAGCAAATAAATATGACAAAATGTTCAACATCACTGATCATTTGAGAGATGCAAATTAAAACAACACTGAGATTCCATCTCACCTCAGAAAGAATGGCTGTTATCAAGAAATCAACCAATAACAAAATGCTGGTAGGGCTGTGGGGAAAAAATAATCCTTCTCCACTGTTGGTGGGAGTGTAGACTGGTGCAACCAGTGTGGAAATCAGTGTGGAGATTCCTAAAAAAAAAAAAAAACTGGGACTAGAGGTTCCATTTGACCCAACTATTCCTCCCCTGGGTATCTTCCCAGAAGAATCAAAAACATCATACCACAGTGATAATATGCACTCCTATGTTTACAGTGGCACAGTTTGTAATAGTCAAACCTTGGAAGCAACCCAAGTGCCCATCACCTGCTGAATGGATAAAGAAGATGTGGGTTGTTTTTTTTTTATGATGGAATACTATACTATACCATAAAGAAAGATATGCTCAAGACATTTCTAGGAAAATGAATACACCTTGAGTCCATACTCTTAAGTGAAATAAATCAGACACATGTGTAAACACCACATTGTTTCTCTGGTATGAGAAGCCAAAAGTGTAAATAAGGACCAAAATATATAATAGATATTGTAAAATTGGGGAGGGGAGCAAGAGAGAGGGGAAGGGGAAAGAAAAGAAGGGAAAAATAAAAATGAGAAAAAAAGAAGGAAAATATGGAAACAAAGCTTTTGTAAATAGGGAGGGGTGGAGGTGTTGAAGGGAAGGCTGAATAAAGGACTCACACTGGAGCTTCTCAGAGGAAAACAACTAAAAATACAGGTAATTGGAAGAAAGACAGGGAGATACATCCTGATACCAAAATTAATCTGAAATAACAGATTTGCAGATCAAACAAAACATATGCATAGGACTTCATACACAAGGGTGAGTGACTACTTCCTTCTCACCAGGCTACCAGGTTTTTTTTCTTTTCTTTTTCTTTCTCTGTCGAGCACCATCATTGCTAACTGAAACCTCTAGCAACAATAAGTTTAGGGACCAGCCATAGTACTGAGGACTGCTAAGGAAACAACACAACTCCTCTTGCCCTATGATGTGTGCAAGAGAGGGACTTGGACTGTCCTGTAGTAGTGGGGACAAGGAGTGGGAAATTAACACTTCCTCACCCTAGGACAAGTGACCAGTAGCACAAGCACCCTTGGGTTGGGAAGTCAGCACTCCCTCTGATTTGCCACCATCAACATGGGACAGACTTGCAACCACCAGCTCAGGACAAGGAGGGCAGAGTGTGAGAGGAATCAGAGGTGTGGAACAGAGCAGGCTGTACGAAGTTCAGGAGGGACCATTTGTAGATGGGACTGGGAGCGCCCTAGGTCTGAGGGTGCCACAGCATCCAAGAGAGCAACACAGAGACAGACAGGGTAAGGAAACATGGGCGGGCCTTGTAGAAAGCTGCTGGCTAAAGACTGGACACAGCCCTCACATCCACAAGCCAAGATCAGCCCTGCATCCAGTGCTAATCCTACTGCAGGCTTGCAGGGGCTCTGATTTGCAAACTACCACAGAACAGTGGACAACAGAGTAATTTAATTAATTTTTTGTCCTTTGTGTTTATTGTTTCTCTTTTACTGTTTGGTTAGGTTTCTTTTTTGTTTGTTTTACTTTTTATTCTTTAGGTTTATACATATATTTTTGTTCTATTCATCTTCTTTCTCTCTCTCAACTATCTCTCTTGATCTTATGATAATGTCACGTGAGTGAATACTGTTCCTAACCTTTTTGATTTGCTTCAATAATCTTTTGCTTTTTCCTTCATTCTTCCTCTTCTGCCCTCTTCTCTAGTTTCCTAAAGCTTGGGTGATCATCCTTTGTCCTTCAGCCTTACTTCAACTTTTTCTTCATCTATCTCTGATTCGTTTCCTATATGTCTTAAATTTCCCAAACACAGGGTAAAACCACTCTACTAGGGAGAAACTCATTGCATATAAGCTCCTGATTTATGTTGGGTTTTGTTATATGACTGTAGATCTTGCCCCTAAGGTTAAAGGTATCAGCTCAAGAGTTACCACAGTTTCTCAGTTTCTAGGCTGTGCTTGATACTATTGTTACTGCTAACTGAAATATGTTAGCCAGGATGTCATACTTATTGAAATCAGTTGTTCTCCCTTCTACAACAACATTGTGACTGTCTGGGATCATAACCATCAGTATAGTCCAGTACCAAAGGGCTGGGTGCTTAGCCAAACAGATAGAATGTCTCATCCTTAATAAATTGGGAAGGTTGGATCTTGGGATAGACACAAAAAACAATAACGTCCTACAAATAGAAGACACCTCTGAAGAACAGACATTTCCTAGGCAGACCTTGATACTAGTGATAAAGTTATCTGCCATAAGAAATTTATAGCCATTGAAACAGAAATTAAATTAAATTAAATTAAATTAAAATTTAAAAATAGAAAATGACAAGACACAGATGCAAAACCCAACCCCAGACCTCCATCCTACCCAGGACATGTCTAAAGGATAATGAGATAGAGTAAAATGAAGGCCACCCATCTAAAATTTCTGAAATGATGGCAGCAGAGGTTCAAAAAGAAGTACATGAGACTATAGAGGAAATCAGATCAGAAATAATCTCCCAGATAAAAAAAGGACATGATGATCACAATAAAGGACTTACTCAGCAAGCCTACAGCAGGCATGGATTAAAAAAAAAGAGGAGCATAGGAAAATGATGGAAATCATGAATGCCTAACATAGGAAAGACATGGAATGCATGAAACAGATTCAGGTATCTAGAAAATTAAAAATTCCATTAAAAGTTTGCAAAGCCACAAGAATGAAAGTAAAGACAGAATTTAAGACAGTAGCAATCATGAAAAGAAAGATCTCTTAAAAATAACAAGGGACCATGAAAAACCAATCGAACAGCTGAAAGATGATGCAAAGAATAACATAACATAAGTTGATTGGAGTCAATGAAAAAAGGAGGAGCCAGCACAAATGACATAAAAAAGCTGCTCATAGAAATAATGGCAGAAAATTTTCAAATATGGAAAAAGAATTTGACATACAGATGTGATGCATATAGAACTCCAATTAGCCATAACCAAAATAAATTTACACCAAGGCACATAATAATCAAGATTTCAGAAATTCAGCACAAGAACAGAACACTAAAATCTATTAGAGAAAAGAAACAAATCAACTATAAAGGAAAACCTGTAAGTCAAGGAGAGCTTGGAGTGAAGTGTTCCAAGTTCTGAAAGAAAGTAACTTTCAACCCAGATTGATGTACCCTGCAAAACTGCCTTTTAGAATTAATGGAGAAATAATATACTTCCATGACAAAGAACAACTGAAGAAATTCATGACCACCAAAAACTGGCTCCACAATGTGCTCTGAAAGATACTGTAGAAAAAGAACACAAATCTAAGAACACTAACAGAAAAAAGTCACTAGGCAAAGCAAGCAATTAAACAGAAGAGAAAGACAGGGAACCAACAGCAGATAATAGTATGACAAGGATAAGCCAGTACAAGTCAGTTATAACCATCAATATAAATGGTCTGAATTCACTAATCAAAAGAAATAGACTGACAGAAAAAGCTCCAACAATATGCTGTGTACAAGAAACACATTTAACTCAAAAAGAAATTCACACACTGAAAGCCAAAGGATAGAAAACAATATTTCATGAACAGGTACTAGGAAAAAAGCAGGTGTAGCTATTCTATTTGCAGACAATGTGAACTTGAAGCCAAGACAGATCAAAAGAGATAAAGAAGGTCATTACATTTTTGTTAAGGGAAAACTCCAAGAAGAAGAACAATTATAAATTTATATGCACCAAATACAGGTGCATCCAACTACATAAAACAATATTAATTAATGGACATGAAAAATCAAATCAGCAGTAAAACAATTGTAATGGGAGACCTTAACACCCCACTGTCACAAATAGATCAACTAGATAAAAAAAAAAATCAAAGAAATATCAGAATTACAACAAACCTGTGAACAAATGGACTTAGTAGATGTCTATAGAGTGTTTCACCCCACAACATCAGAATATACATTCTTCTCAGTTATGTATGGGACAGTCTCCAAAATAAACTACATACTAGACTATAGTGCATGCTTAAGTAAATGCAAAGGAATTGAAATTATCCCATGTACATTACCTGACCGTAGTGCAATGAAATTGGAAATCAATGGCAAAAGAAACCATAAAAATTCCATAAATATATGAAAATTAAATAACCCCCTACCAAACAACAAATGAGTCACAGATGAAATTAAAGAAGAAATTACACCGTATCTACAACTAAATGGTAATGCTGATATAACATACAGTCCAAAGAGGGAAATTTTAGTGGGGAATACCCGTATCAGGAAGACAGAATGAGTTCAAATAAACCAAATGTTGAATTTCAAACTTCTGAAGAAAGAACAATTCAAACCCAAAGATTGTATGAGGGAAGAAATTATAAATATCAGGGCAGAAATTAATGCAATTGAGACTAAGAAAACAATACACAGAATCAATTAATTGATGAGTTGGTTATTTGAAAGATTAAATAAAATTGATAAATGCTTAGCCAACCTTATAAAAAAAGAAAAAAACTCAAATTCATGCACGTAAGAATGAAAAGAATGAAATCAAAACAGATCCTGCAGAAATTCAGAAGAACATCAAAACCT